TGGCACTGCCACCCTGCACAGCCACCCCGGCACAGCCACCCCAGCACAGCCACCCCGGCACAGCCACCCTGGCACAGCCACCCCGGCACAGCCACCCTGGCACAGCCACCCTGGCTCAGCCACCCTGGCACAGCCGTACCAACCACATCCAGGTACTGCCGCACCACGCTCTTGGGGTCGGGGCCCAGGAAGATGTAGAAGTCCAGGATCCCACCTGTGGTGCGCCAGGTCAGGGCCGGGCTGGGCTGCAGGAGCACGTCTGGGGAAGCACAAGTGCCAGGGGAGGGAGCTGAGGATGGGGACACGGCCAGGCCCACGCCCGGCGCCTCCACGGGACTCACCCATCGCGTTGCTGTTCAGCAGAAAGACACCGTGGGCTGAACCATCGTCCTCCATCACCAGGTAGAAAGGGTGGGAGCCGTAGAGGTTGACGTGGGGCTGGAGCAGAGCACGGTGTGGGGCCAGTGAGGCTCTGCTGGAGACCCCCACACCCACCTGACAGCCCCTCGCCTCCAGGCAGGAGCACCGGGCTTGTGCTCCCAAACTCTGCCAAGTCAACAGAGCTCTGCCCTGAGCCAGAGCGCTGGAAACAGCTCCCAAGCAGCACAGAGCTCCGGGGGGACAAACCTGCCTCTGGGGACAAACCTGGCTCTGGGGACAAACCTGGCTCTGGGGACAAACCTGGCTTTGGGGACAAACCTGGCTCTGGGGACAAGGGTCCCATGGGCTTGCCAGGACCCGGAGCTGAGGCAGCACAGACACATCTCCCCAGCCCCAGACAAGACGTGAGAGGCTGCAGGGGCAGCCCCAGGAGCACATCCGTGTCCCTTTTCCTCAGCCCCGCTCCGTACCGCGGGTGCCATGTCCCGATTCCAGAGGGTGACCCTGCTCCAGGCTGTGTCAAGGAACAGCGGTGTCAGGTGCTCCCCCAGCCCCGAAATGAAGCGGGAGGGCAGGGAGGTGGAGATCTGCAGGAACTGGTCTGTGAAGAAGAGGGGTGCGACCGTGGTGTTCAGCCTGCGGAGGGAAAGGGAGACTGCGGAACGGCCGGGAGGGAGGCCCCGAGCTGCGGCCGCCGGAGCCGGGCGGGGATGCGGATGCTCATCACCGCCTGAAGGAAAACCAGGTATCGGCCGAGCTCTGGGATCCCCGCTTCATTCCTGGTTCCCTGCACAGCCACTGAACCGCGGAGGGAGTCCAGAGGCACCGCCAGCCGCCCCGGTGCTGTCCCCGCACCCAGCCGGGCACCGTGCGGGCTCCGGGGAGCGGCCGGGGAAGGGAGCGGGGCAGAGGGGCACTCAC